GTTCTCACAACTGACTTTAATTGGGCTGAAGTCATTGACTTTGGTAACTTAAGTGATACTTATTGCGAATTAAGTTACGTCTTAAAAATCGGTCCCTTCCAGTACTTCATATTGAAATGAAATTTTAGATTTATCTGCTTAAAAATAATGGAGCATATACGATGAAATTTACACATAACCAGTTACATTTATGAATACATGAAATATTTTCGAATACTTACGCATTTCACTAAATATTTGTAAATCATAGGTTTTTTGAGTACATCTGTGTAAAAACTTTACTTTATATTTAATACTATATAAGTGTTATAGAAAGCATTTATTAGAATTTTATAAGTGTGTTTAAGTTGTTATAACATAAAATTTTGTAATCATATTTTTTTTTACTAAATTGGAAGCATAGAAGTCAAACTCCTGAAAATATTTTATGCATAAATTCTTATTTACAAATATATACACCACTTTTAAAATATTTTTATAAGCAACATATACTACTACTCTACTATACTACTTCTAAAAGTTCATTCAGAGTTAGAGATAAGATCTTCGCAAATATTCCCCGAAGTTACTTCTTACCTTTTTCTAATTTTTATTATATGTTAAGTGATACTTAACTATATGATAGGTACATGTGTATTAGATTATTCTAACTGATAAAATAGATAAAATAACTATAAGATACTTTTGAAATCGTAAAAAAATATTTTGCAGATTTTACAGTCGTTTTCTAAATATCACTTAGATCAGCAAAGTTGATATATAACTTAAAACTTACTTTAATTAATAATAACTATAAATCAACCAATAAGTGTATTAAAAGGCCAAAGCTATAATTCTAAAATCGGTACTAAACATTTAGTCGACTAGAAAGTATGTTAAAATCCCAAAGGTAGAATTGTAAAGCCGATACTTAGTTAACATTAAGTCAACCAAAAAGTACTTAAATATGAAATTGATTCGCATCTTCTTCAACTTCTTGATTGCATTGTTAGTATGTTTTACATATTTTCCGTATTGTTTATAACAATTATTGTTAATATGGTTTAGTGTTATTTTTCGTTTACACCTTCAATTCCTTAAGAATAGATTCACTGTTAGTATAATAGATTTACTTAATATTGTTGCTGTGCTATAATTCATTATGACAATAGAACTATTTCCCAGTCCTGATAAGTAATATATCTCTTATATTTTCCATTGTATATCTTTAGCAGGATTGGTTCTCAGAAACTTGGCATATACATAACTTTTTATTAGAAAAAGTATTTAATTTCGTTAATAAATGTCTATCATAATGGTGGTTAAATGATTCCAAAGAACAGTTGGTAATGATTTATAGGGATATATATATATATCCGATTTTACAAGTTAAAATACCTGAAACACCAAGCTTGAGCACAATTTATTCGAATATAGAATAAACTGAGTTATCTGATTATAAGTGCTTAAATTATAAACCCATACTTATTCTAATATATCTTTAAGTTTTAAATACTTTACTTTATTTTTGTACATGAAAAGCCGCTAATTTCTTTGACCTTTACCCATCAAACCAACTAAAGAAAAAAGCTATGCCTTTGAACGCGTGTAAAATGTCAAATTAAATAAAATTTATGTGCCCCAAAGGAAAAATAGGAATCCAACTGTTGCTCCAACCTACTAACAATTGATTAAAAGCTCTTAATTAAATTGTATTTCATATTTACACAAAACAGTAAATAAAATTACCTAACAACTAAATAAGAACTGTCAAGCCTGCGAAATTTCTGTGCCAGTACAGTGACTTGCGTGAGCTCTTAGGCAAAATGTAGTACAAATGCAATCCACATAAATCATACAAATTCCGGAAAGTAAGTTTTCTACTAACGTTTCTAGGTTGCCAAAAAGATAGCGAACTTAGGCAAAAAAAATGTTGATTGGATTAAGAAGCAGCCGGTGTGTAATCGATTTGCACGAAACACTGTCATAGGTTAAAGGGTTTCCTATGTTATGTTAATATTTGTGTATGAAAATGAAAATTTATGCCAATATATAAGGCCTACATACATATATCTGACTAATATCACTGATTCACAAATGTGAAAATAAAGGAAGAAAGTATTTAAATATAAACAAACCTGCGTTAATAATACACTTACTATAAGAAAATTAGACTCTCATATACAGTATCTGTACCGCTTTGTGTGAATCAAACCAGCTGCTGCTGGTTTTCATGAATCGCACCGATGCTAAGAGAAATGCCCTGGTGTTCTGTAAAGCCGCACGAGGGTTTGCCATTCATAAGCTATACGCTAGGCAAGTTAATCAGCTGAAAAATTCAATAATTCGCATGATGTGCCTGAAAGATACACAATCGAATAAACTTCAAGCAGAGCTGATTAAAAATCGATAATAAAATTACTTTATTTTAATTCTCTTTCAAATATGTGCTGTTTTTTTTTTGGTTTGGTATATATCTTTTTATTCATTTATTTTTTTTTTTTTTGGTAATATTTTAAATTTAGCCACATAAACCAAATGATATATTTTGTAATGTTCGCTACTTTTAGCCGCTTAGAATAGCATTTATATTTGGCAAAGTACATACGTTCGAAGTTCTTTATATTTTTTATCTATGGATTTTTTTGTTTTTATTTATCTTTTACATCTATCTAAAATTTAAGCTTTTTTAAATACACGATTTATTTTTTATTTACCTATAACGAATGTCTTTCATGCGTCTTTTTACTTATTTCACCGCAATTATTTATACTCCTTGCCTATGCGTGTAAAGGACTTAAGTAGAGTAAATCGAAATACTGATTTATTTAGGAAATTGCCTATAGAATCTACATAAATTGGTTCAGCGAATTAATGGCATTGAATTCATTGCAAGAATTATTTAAAAAAATAAAAATCTTTCTGAAATGCGCAATCAAATCTGGGTTTATAAGTTTCGCTTGTCAAGTGTGACGAGGCATGCTGCTAGGATAACCTTAAATTGAATTTGTTTCCAAGGATGTGCACTTCTGTTTTTCTTTAAGTACATCAAAAATAAAAGAAAGCTAAAGTTGACATTTAAAGTGAAGCATATTTATTTGGAAAATTATGATCTTTTGAACTTTTCAATTTAATTTCATTTATTAACAAAATTTAACTTGTCAATTTATTTCCTTTATGTATATATATATAAATATTGTTCATCTTTTCATTTATACAAGTATTTTCTTGAGTTTAAAATAATATGATAGTAATTGGATTGAATTTTTATTAATATTATGAACATGTGGTTTTTACTTAACAAAATGTTCATTTAATATAAATTTTTAAAAATTATTTATAAAAATATTATTTAAAACAGTTTTTTAAAATTATTGTTATACCCTTTAAACAAAAAAAAATTTATACAGGGTGTATTAGGAATGTGTATATTTTAGATCAACTAGACAAATTAAGTTCATTTAGCCCTATCTGTCTGTCAGAAAAACAAGCCCCTCAGTTTTTAAGGTATTAGCATAAAATTTTGAACAGATGCTTCTCGGGATTATACCTTCATCATTTCTTAGATACGACTAGAAACGGACTACTGTATTCTATAGCTGCCATATGAGCTAAATAAAAATAATAGCTAAATAAATGTAAGTTTTCTAGCACTTTTAATAACGAGATTCATATCATGGAAATTGTCGAGTCCGATAACCGACCGTTATATAAGCACTGTTTTGATTGCCCAAGAGCTAAAAATTGCATAAAAAACCATTCGGAACCATTTATATAAAGCTGGATACAAAAAAAAATCGACCTATGGGTAGCACACAAGTTAACGCAAAAACACCTCATACACCGAATTTCGTTTACGAAGCGCTGCAGAATTGCAATAAAATCGACTCATTTCTGTAGTGATTTATCACGTTTAATGATGATGAAAAGTGGATTACTTACGACATCGTCAAGCAAAAACGAACCTGGTTTAATCGCGGTAAGTCAGCTAAAATGGTGCCCAAGTCAGAATTGACGGCCAAAAAGGTTTTGCTGTGTGCTTGGTGGAATTAGCAGAGGATCATCTATTTTGAGCTGTATTGTCAACAATTGAACCGTCTGAAAAAAGCAATCACCCAGAAACATTCAGTTTTGGGCAATACCAGAGGAATAGGGTTTCATCAGGACAACGCAGGGCCGCACACATACATAATGGCTTGCCAAAAGCTCTAGAAGTTTGGTTGGGAATTTCTTGTGCATCCGCCTTTTAGTCTAGACCTTGCACCAAATGATTAACATCTCTTCCTGTCCATGGCAAACCATTTTTCTGAAAAAA